CTTTCCTTCCTTCTTTCCCTTTTTTCTTTCCTTCTCTCCTTCCTTCTCTAACTTTCCTTCCTTCCCCCTTTTCCTTCCCTCCCTCTTTCTCTCCTTCCTTCCTTGTCTACCTCTTTCCTTCCTTCTCTCTTTGCTTCCATGTTTCCTTTCCTTCTTTCTTTCCCTCCCTTTCTTTTCTTTTCTTTTCTTTTCTTTCTTTCTTTCTTTCTTCTCCCCTTCCCTCCCTCTTTCTTCCTTTTTTCTGTATTATTATTTAGCTTTTCATCGTTTAGCTTTTTGGGGCTTTTAAAGTCCCTTTTGCTGTGTTTTTCAATGTTTTTATGAGTGAAGGACATATATTGGGTTGTTTAGGTGTCTTGTGTCCAAATTTGGTGTCAATTCGCCCAGTGGTTTTTGAGTTCTATCAATCCCACAAACGAACATTACATTTTTATTTGAATAGATGATGATGATGATGATGATGATGATGATGATGATGATGATCTCATAGTGTTTTCCACAGACTTTTTCTATGTTTCCCACTGAGACTTGTTGATCTACAGAGCTGACTATCTACCCTAATCTGCAAACGTTAATCCTCGCTTAGTTCCGTACCACCTTGAGACTTTCATGTTAATTTGTCTTCACTCGACTCTTTATCTAAAGATGTTGTTTCTGGCTCCGGTGACTGAACTTGATGCTCAGAGACAATTGCATTCTCTTGGCCTGCATCACTATCTGAAGCAATTTCATTTCCTTGAATTTAGGGTGCACACTGACTGTTAATAAACAGATGTAAATTCATGGCGTTTTCCATGGATTTTTTCTATCTCTTTCCCACTGAGACTTGTTAATTTACGAAGCTGACTATCTGCCCTAATCTGCAAACATAAATCCTTGCTTAGTTCCATATCACCAGGTGTAAATACTTGTTTAGGTCCATATCACCTCGAGACTTTCCTGTTAATTTGTCTTCACTCAGCTCCTTATCTAAGGATGTTATTTCTGGCTCCTGTGGTGGACCTTGAGGCTCAGAGACAATTGCATTCTCTTGGCCTGCATCACTATCTGAGGCAATTTTATTTCCTTGGCCTGTATCACTCTGAATCCCAGGAAAGCCCATAATCCCTTCTGAATCTCACTCACCAGTGAACCCATCAGCCCCTGACTGTTGTGACTGCTAAAACTGCTGAGCGAGAACACCTACTTTCTACCAAGATCGTATCCAATATCATATCCTACCTTTTACCAAGATATACCCCATTCTTCCAAGATCATATCCAAGATCATATCCTCCTTTGTAACAACGTCCTATGCAAGATCATATTTTCCTTACTACCAAGATAATATCATAGAATCATAGAATCAAAGAGTTGGAAGAGACCTCCTGGGCCATCCAGTCCAACCCCATTCTGCC